TAGAATTATGCAAGCGGGACTGATCAGCCGCAAATGTCCTTTGACCTGAGGACCATAAACCGTCTCAATGGTCGTAAAGAACGTCGTCATGTCAAGTCACTGGTATCTGCGTATCCTTGGTTTTCTTCAGCATGGAGACTCAGGCAATCACTTTCTGTCTGTCATTTCTGCTAAACTACGCTTCGGCATCGGAAGAATGCCGCCTTATTGGTATTGGCCTCATTGTTGACGTAGGTCTTAAAGAATATTTTGCCTATACAAGCGAAAATGCAATTCCCAGAAATTAATTAAGAGGAAGTATATGCGATCGCCGGGACAAATGTTTTGTTCGCCTGAAGTTTCGGACTCCTTCTCTAATCCATTATCAGAGAAAGTAGGAGAAACGACCCGTTGCTGGTGTTGCCTCATGCTTGCAACCTGGTCCGATGGGTACGCCCCACTCCAATTGGTGCTTTGTTTTTAAGCCTTTTTTCTAGGGCACTGGGGCCAGTGTCGATTATTTTGTGCCCTTTAATTCGTCCTGTAGATTACCCACGTTGGCTGTACCATAAGCAATTATTTTTGGACTTGGAGAACTTGTTTTTACGGATTTCCCCCAGTTACCTCCCATGCATTTGTTTCTTTTTTGTATTGCTCGGCATGATTGCACGGTCCATTAAAACTGAGCATCGGCTCAGCTTTGTCGTATTCCAAATCTTTGCAGGTGTCCTTTTATGCACAGAATGTGCTTCATCCCGAAAATTGCGCAGTTTGGCATTGCACGCCTTACATGTGCTTCTTGGAGGTGTGCACTATTGCTGTTCGGTTTAGAGTAAACGAATTAGTTTACGAAACAGGGCCCTCTTACGTTATGTGCGGGTTCTCCGACAAGACAGAGCTTGGCGGCTAACCTGGCTACGGGGTTTTCGCCATGCGCGCACGGGTGGTGTGTTTAACTGACTCTAAGCCACTGTTAGTGCTCGGTCTGAAGATTTTTCATCTACAGACCGTGCAGCAGCACTGTCTTTACTTGTGGCTGGGCGCTGAAGTTGAGAATGTGTTATCTGTGCTGTGATTTTGCTGTTCATTGACGACTCCACCGTCACAAGTGATTTTGTCCATCTCGTGCCAACGAAATTTGCAAAGCACCAGTGACTTGCGCTACACCTACCGCACTCTTTTCTTCCTCAACTACCTTCCGAGGTCACGACGACCAGGATGGGTCTGAGAGAAGTAGCTGAGAAAGTTCAATTGCTCGCCTGTGCGTGTCATTCCCGAAATGCTTTCCACTATACGCGTCAGTTTTCTGTGGGGGCAATTTCGATCTCACATGGGTCAGAATGCTATGGAGGCCGCATTTAGAAGCAGCCATTGCTGAGTGGCTCTCAGCCCTCCAACCACTCCCTTCAGGACCGCCTTATCCTGTCAATGGGAAACCCTTCAAGCCATGGTGCTGATTATCACATAAGAACTACCCACCTCTCGTCACAATGTTTCGTAAATCAGAACGAAGTTATGTGCTGGAAATCGCTACCTCAATGCGATTCTCTCAGATAACTATATTGTGTACCCTTGCACTTACTATATGCAAATTTCGATCAAACAGTTCAACAGGATTTATCAAAATCCCTACCTTTCCCCGAAGTCTTTGGATGGAATGGATAACTTGCCAAGATATCCTGATTAAGCATCTTACAGGAGTGATGTCTTTTATTAAAAAATCTCGCTATCAAATCGGATGATTTATTTATCCTCTGTAATGTTTATGAGCAAGAAAAAAAA